TTTACATCTTTAACCTATAGGAGCTAAGCAAGGCAGAAGCAGTGAGATACAGTATGAAAAAAAAAACCAGAGGTCACATTTGGGTTCAAATGTGACCTCTGATGTTACCTGTGTGACTTTGGGCAGTTGACCACTAAGCTTCCTTGGTCTAATAAAGGGGTTGAACTTACTGGAGAGCTTTCCAGGTCCGTTGCAGCTCTAGAACCATGATCCTAAGGCTGAGAGCATGAGAGAGGGAGGATTCCCAACTCTTTCTTTGGTGAATTCATCAATCTGAAGCTACTTTACTGCAAATGTTTACAAGGACAAAAGGAAAAATACCTTTCAAATCTAAGATCCTTCTTCAGCTATTCCACTCTGAAAACATAGAGCAGGGGCTAGCTCTTAACTTTGCATTCATGACTTTTTAAAAAATATTTTGATAACTGTATTTAAATAGTTTCCTTTTAATATTTTGTAAGGCAGCTAGGAGGTGCAGTGGATAGAGGGCCAGGCCTGGAGTCAGGAAGACACATATTCTTGAATGCAAATCTGGTATCAGACACATACTAGCTGTGCGATCCTGGGCAAGTCACTTAACCCTGTTTGTCTCAGTTTCCTCATCTGTAAAATGAGCTAGAGAAGGAAATGGCAAACCACTCAAATTTCTGCCAAGAAAATCCTAAATGAGGTCATAAAGACTCAGACTGAAACAACTGAATAATAACAACAAAACTCAAGAACATAATGATATTCATTTAAATAATAGGAAAAAACTGAATTATAGATAAATTAAAGCCATGTTAAAACAACAACAGTAGTAATAATAATGAGGAGGAGGAAGAGGATAATTAACATTTTTATAGTGCTTTAGAATTTACAAAACATGTTACAAACACCTCATTTTATCCTCCCAACATGGGAAGTAGGTGATATTATAATCCTCAACCTACAGATGAGGAAACAGGGGCAGACAGTGCCCAGGGTCACATAGCTAATGAATGACTGAGGCTGGATTTGAACTTGGGTCTTCTTGCCTCTGAATCCAGAACTCTCTCCACAGTACCATCAACGTGCTGAACAGGTAATAACAAAAATCATAGATCTAGAGCTCTATGGGCCCTCAGGGGCCATTTTAGTCAAAATCCACTATTTTAGAGATGAGGAAACTGAGACCACAGGAGGTTAAGTGACTGACTCAAGGCAATCCAGGTAATAATAATTATAATAAAAATTAGGCATGAACCCAGGTCCTCTGACTTTAAATTCAACGTTCTTTCCAAATTAATAATAGCACTTTTAAAAAGGACTTTCATACATATTTAATCCTCATACTTGTCCTTATAGGTAGGATATAGGTTATATCACTATTCTCATTTTACCCATGAAAAAATTGGGAAAGGGAGAAGCTATTTCCCCAAAGGCACATAGCAAGACAGTGATGGGGTCTAGAATTCAAATGGCACACGGAGTTCAATCAGTGTTTATGAAGCAATGATGAATTTTATTTTTCCCCATTCTCAACTAGTTAATTTATCACAGAGGAAAAAGCTTGCAGTCTGTTGGCCTGATTCCACAAAGTGCTATATGTGACCATTTAAAAATAGAGCAAAAGGTCACTTTGAGAGTGCCCTAGGTAACTGATGTCACATGGAAAGGCAGTAAAGGAACAAAGGTGGGGACCAGGACATAGTATGTCTCCTGCTCAGTCCTTTAGACAGCAAAAATTTCCTTGTAACTGCATAATTTTGCACCTCCTTCCTTCTTTGCAGAGATGGATGACCATGGGTGTGGGACATTGCATATAATGTCAGGTTAGACACTGTTGATGGGCTATTCTGTTTTGCCTAATTGCCTTCCTCATTCCCTCCCCTCCTTTATTGTAAGAGTTGGCTCACAAGACAAGGAAGCCCAGGATAAGATGTTTGTAAATGAAGGTGATTTAAAAATGAAAGAGATCATTTGTTTTGCTGGACTATACATATTTGCAACAGGCCTTTTGCTTTTCCTTTCTTTTTCAATGGGGGGGAGGAAAGTAATTGAAAAGAAACATTATTTTATTTATTTATTTATTTATTTTGCTGAGGCAATTGAGGTTAAGTGACTTGCCCAGAGTCACATAGCTAGTGAGTGTTTTGTGTCTGAGGCTGGATTTGAACTCAGGTCCTCCTGACTCCAGAGCCAGTACTGTAACCACCGAGTCACCTAGCTGCCCCTAAATTTTTTTTTTGAGAAGCAAGAGATCAACAAAAATGACTTCAAATTTTTTTTAAGCCTGCAAAATTTCAGCTCTAATTAGGACTAATGGGAATGTAAGCCTTATGCAGAGCTTAATTCTGTCCACATTCCAAGGGGTTAATCAATAGTCTAGCCATGCATATTTCTATGGGCCTTGTTAGAAGAGATATTTTTCCATGAAATTTTACACCCTGAAAGCTTCTTCCCTGTTTCAAATTTCTCTTTATCTGGATTTTTCCTTGGTCCCCATCTCACTCTATCTTGTTTACATGCTGTTACCTCTTCTACTAACAATAACTAACATATATGTAGCACTTCAAAGTTTACAAAATATTTCATATATATTATCTCATTTGAATCTCACAACAATCCTTTCAGGTAGGTGCCATTATTATCCTCATTTTACATATGAGGAAACTGAGGCAGTGACTTACAGAGAAACCCAGTTAGTGTCAGAGCGATTCAGGCAGGATTTGAACCTAGATCACCTGGATTCCAAATCCAGTGCTCTACCATTCTAGGCTACCTAATTTAGGTTTCTTCCCTATAAAAGGAGGGAGTTAGACTATAAGTGATCTCTTCTACCTCTCGATCTATAAAGAATGGGCCCATGCTGCTTTTCATCTCAAGGCCTAGTACTGTATCTAGCACATAGTAAACCCATAAGTGTTTAATGAATGGAGAGAAACGACTTAAGTGAAGAAATCAGGCTGTGAACCAGAAAGAAGGTACTTGATTTTCTCCTTTTCTTTCAGAGAAAATCCATTCCCTAGATGTGGCAAGAAAGCGGATTTTAATAAAGGGGAAAACCAGCTGATATTTCCCAGAGTGGGAAGTTTTTGGCTACAGCACTGTGTCAATGAGTTAAGGGTCATAGGTTTCATCCCCAAACAGGTTGGTACATTTTGCTCTGTTTCAGACAGTACTGTGTAAAAATAGATCTGTGCTATTTCATTACCATAAGAAAAATAAATAAATCAAAGCATAGTCACTAGTGACAGTAATGCCATGTTGTATACAGAGGCTAGACAGCCCTTTGGGTGATCAGCTGAAGTGCCCCTACAATAAAGGACTGGAGAAAGAGAATGGAGTAGAGAGAAAGACCAACAGAGGAGCGACATGATTTGGAACATGCACCCAAGGGAGCTTAAACCAACAAACTCCTTACCTAGTCCTACATGTGAATCTATTAGGGGCACCATGCCAAGAGATCTAAATAGATGCTAGAACCTCCACCAAAATACTAGAATTGAATACCATTCTCCAGCCCTATACATGCTCACTGGGGATAACTTTGTACATTGTAGATGCCCAATAAGTAAATATTAGAGGGACAGTGTTGTACAAGGGAAAGAACTTGGTTTTGGAAGAAAAGACCTAGATGGAAATCCTGCCTTTGCCAAACTATTTTCGTGACCCTGGGCAAGTTCCCTAACTTCTCTGGTCCTTAATTTCCTTATCTGCAAAATGAAGGGGTTGGACTAGAACAGTAGTGTCAAACTCAAATCAAAATGGAAGCCACTAATCCGAACATAAGGTTCTCTGTGAATATTGACTTGGCTTTTAAAATGCAATGTTTTCTGTTTTATTGTATTTTTATTATTATCTTGCTAAGTATTTCCCAACCTGGTTCAGCGGCAAGCCCAGTGATTGACAGTTCAGGACTAGATGGATGACCTCTAAGATCCAGTTCAGTTCTAAATCTATCATCTTTCCTATTAGAGTAGAAAACTGGGTTGAATTTTAAACAGAAATCTTAGTACTGCACGTTTTCAGGCTACCACAAACTCAGAGACCATCTTTGCCATCTAGTTAAAAAATGGCTAGGGGTTGCGGGGAAGCGACTTGTCCTTCTCCCCAACACTCATATATAGGACTACAGTATTAGCTTGATTCCTGCTTCTTTAGCATCCCAGGCATTACATGCGTAAGTGACTTGCTCTCACAAGTCTCCTTTCTCATTGTTCCCTTATTGAAACAGCAGTAGGTGCAAATCACAACATAACTGTCAACCAACAGCATGACAACCTTTCCAATGCTACCAAAAAAAAAAAAAAAAAAGAGAGGAAAATAGATCTTTTGACAGATTAGGAATGTTTTTCCAAAGCCAGAAACTTCTGCCAAGGGCTGCAAGTAAGGTGTGAAGCAACGCTCCTCCCAAGCGCTGCAATATATTTTATTAAAAACAACTATCTCTTGTGTAATGCTGTTCTTATCCTGTTCCATCTCAAACATCATTCAGCACCAGCGTGAGCTGGCATGTAAGAACAATCTGGAGTATGAGCTGTGGATGGGATTAGGGCCAGGTGGTATGAGGTTTGTACAAAATACAATGCCCCAGGATTAGGTTTTATGGGGTTAATACGACCGAAAGCTCCCTTCGGCCCCAGCGAGAGTCAACGGGTGGTTGTTTATTCAGCTTCCCAGCGTGGTCCTGCCTCCTCACCTCAGCACGCCGTCTTGGCCATTCCCAGGGCAGGTCCGTGTCAAAGGATGAAGTTTGGGGGAGAGCGAACACTGGGGTCCTGTACTAGGCTCCTATTGTCCTCCGGTCCTGCCCAGGCCCTGGTCACCCTCCAACCAATAGCTCATCCTCCCACATTTTCCTCTTTAACACTCCCAGCCTAACCTGGGCTCCATTTCCCCCTCTCCCCCGCGACGAATCCCTCACAGTGGGAGGAAAGAGTCCCAGCAACAGCATCCTTGAATTCTGAATCTGCCTTCACTTTTCGCTTCCGCATGTCCTCTCCCTCCTTTCCCGCAATCCGCTGTCCTCTACTTACCCCTCTGCTGGGCTGCTCCAAGTACCAGAAGAAGTCTCCTTGCCAAGCTGTAGGGCCGCTAAGGGGATTTGAGAATATATCTAAGCCAATCGGAGCCTTGGCCTCCGCCGCCGCCTCCCCCTCTGGATGATTTCCCGCCCCCCTCCCCCCCCCCCCCACACTGTGCTGCAGCTGTCGGTCCTCTAGTTCCTTCGCGCTGTTGAGATAGGAAAGCTTGTCTCTTCCCCTTTGCCCGACTCCCGCAGGATTCAGCTCTCTTATCATCCCCTTCCTGCCAGGAATCACAGTAGGGTAGAGGGAGTGGCAGAGGGCGGAGTGTATTTCCATCTGCCCACTCACAAATATTTGCTTTGGCTCCGCTTTACTTCCAGGGAACCCAGAAACCTGTATCTGACTGTGTGTTATGTGTGCAGAATGGGGTCACGCACTGGCCACTCCACTAGAATTATCTCCTCAAACAACTCACTCGATTTAATGCAACAGTCAATGATTGAGGCAGTGTGCTAGGCACAAAAAAACCCAAATCCAAAAAATCCAAAAGGTTTCTGCCTTCAAGGAGTCCATATTTTATTGGAGGGAAACATAATAAGTGTTTATTGACTGACTGGCTGATGCGATGAGGGGTGCTTGACTGGAACCTTGAAGTGAGCTAAGAATTGCTAGCGGAAAAAGTAGGGGGAACACTAAGAATTAATCTATCAACAATAGGTTCCTGTCCAAGCACCACTTAGTGGTTATTTTTTGGGTCCTCCTGGCTCAGAGTGAATGTAAATAGTAACTGTTTCTCTTTTGGCCAGCAATCCTGAAGGTCTTACCCTCCCAGGTTGATTTTTTTTATTTTAATTTATTTATTTATTTTTATTAAAGGGGCCATTCCTAGACTCACTTCTTAAAGAAGCCTATTCATTGAATGGGTATTGCCTCATTCAAAGTGAGAACCTGAAAAGACATTAGCTTAAAAAGGTCAAGGTCTCCCATTGCTTCCAGGGCCATCTCTAGTCCTCTTGATGAATATCAGGCCACTGGACCCAAATGGCTCTAGAGGAAAAAGTAAGGCTGGTGGCCTTGTACAGCTCCACCCCCCCCCCCAAATCAAAGTCAATTGCAAGTCATGTCATCTCCCTGATGTCATGGTCCTCTTCGAGAATGAAGGACAAACCACACAATCTATTAACACAGACGCTATGCTAGGAACTGGGGATACAAGCACGGGGAACAGACTGAAAAGGTATGGAGGCTGGAAATAGAATGTTCTGCTTGGCGAGTGGAAAGTGGACCAGGCTGGCTGAAATGTAGAGTGCCTAGAAAGATAGAAGGCATGAGGGGGAAATAATGTGAAATCAATATACAACACAGTTTCTTCAGCTAGGTTTCAGTGGGTAGATGAATTTTGATGGGGAAAAATGATATTTTTATTTTCTCTAACCTCTAAAGGAAATTCAGCATTTCCTTCTATTATAAATGTAAGCTACAAACAATTATTTTGAGATGAGGTCCATGGGCTTCACCGCACTGCTAAAGGGGTCCAGGACATAAGAAGACTAAGAACCCCTGATTTCTTAGTTTTGCCAATAAAATCTGGTTAAATAATGCCAAATATTTGATTATTCTGAAATCATTTTAGTCCTTCCAACCCCCCATATAAACACACACACACACACACACATACATATACATGCTCCACTCTATTTCATAATATGGTCAGACCAATGTTTTGGTGTATAAGGATAGTAACTGGATGAATTTCTCTCACCATATTTGGAAAGGGCAAATTTAATGTCACTTTACATAGCTCAGTTTAATCCAGAGTAATTTGGATTAATTAATCTTAATTAAGCCCAATCTATCATGAGGTCAGAAGCCAAACTACAGAAAGTTAAGAAGAGAGTAACAATCTGTCAAGAAACATATATTCTCTACTATGTGTCAGGTACTGTGAAAGTGTTGGAAATAGAAAAAGAGTCAAAAGAGGGCCACATGTGGCCTCAAGGCCACAGGTTCTCCACCCTGTAATAGTCATTACTTTCAAGGAGCTTACAATCTAATTGGGAGATAACATGCAAACACATATGTAGAAAGCAAACTATATACAGGATAAATAGGAAATAACAGAGGAAAGACATTGAGGGGTTGGGGAAGGCTGTAGAAGGAGGGATTTTATTTGGGACCTAAAGAAAGCCAGGGGAGGTCAGTAGTTGGAGTGGAGAAGGGAGAGTGTCTAGGCATAGGAACAGCTAGAGAAAATGCCTAGAGCTGAGAGAGAGTGTCTTGTTTGTGGACCAGCCAGGAGGAAAGTGTCACTACACCAAAGAGTATGTGTCTAGGAGTAAAGTGTAAGAAGACGGAAAGACAGGAGGGGGCTAAGTTATAAGGGCTTTGATTGCCAAACAGCATTTTATATTTGCTTCTGGAGGCAATGGGGAGCCACATGAGTTTATTGAGTAGGTGAGGATGGGGCATGGTGACATTTGATTTAGGAAAATGACTTTAGAGGCTGAATGGAGGATAGATTGGAGTGGGGAGAGACTTGAGGCAGGGAGACCCACCAATAGGCTATCACAACAATCTAGGTATGAGGTGCTGAGGACTTGCCCAGAGTAGTGGCAGTGCCAAAGGAGTGAAGGGAGCATAGTGGAGAGATGACACAAAGATAAAATTGATAGACCTTGGGAAAAGGGTGAGAGGGAGGAGTCCAGGATGACTCCTAGGTTGTGTTGAGCAATGGAAGAATGGCGTTGACCTCTATAGAAATAGGGAAGGTAAGAGGGATGGGGTGGGGGGAAGTTTAGAGGGAAAGGTAATGAGTTTGGTTTTGGACATACTGAGTTTAAGATGTTTACTGGACATCCAATTCAATATGTCTGAAAGGCAGTTGTAGATCTGAGACTGATCATGTTCATCATGGGATGATATTTCTACATTCATTGAAAGTAAAACAATCCTGAAAAGTTAAGCAACACGCCCAAAGCCACAAAGATATACTGCAACACACTGCTTCTGACATAAAATTCAAGTATTAATTTTGGGGGCAAGATGGATCTTAATCATCTGAAACCTAAGAGGCTAAGAAAAATCACATCAGATATTTGTGTTCTTTGAAAAATAGCTTATAAACAAGATGGGTGACAATAATAATGACAATTTAAATTTTAAGATTTGTAATGCACTTTCAGCTAGAGAGCTGAATTATTATCCATGTTTTACAGATGAGCATTGAAAAGTTTTGTGACTTGTCCATGAAAATGAAAAATTTCTAAGAATTAGATGTTCTTTGGAATAAAATTCATGTTAGATTAATTGAATTTTCTTCATTTCTCTAACTAAATTGAACTTGTAAAAGCTGTTTAGCCCCTGGCAGCACCAAACTAAAAATAAGAACACAGCAGACTACAATATAGGAAGACCTGAGCTCAAATCCAGCCTCAGACATATGAGCCTGGGCAAGCCTCAGCTTCCTCTATTGGAAACTGAGGACAATAATAGCACCTACCTCGCGGGGTTCTTGTGAGATAATAATTATAAAGTACTTAATAAATGTGTATTCCTTCCCTCCTTCCCTCATTCTTTTAGAACAGCAACTCTAAACCCTAAAGGCTAAATGAAAAACTGAATACTCCAAGGGACACTCAAAGAAGAGACACCAGAATAAATAATAATTTTATCTACCCCATTTCATCATCATCAGATAATAGGTACTCTGTGCTTTGGTGTGCTTCACCCTTGACTAAGTTGGCATTCTAGACATTCATGGGGGGAAAAAGAGCCCAGACCTGATTCTTTTAAAAGAAAGCATTGTAGATAGGAAGCCAAGATGTCAGAATGAAGCTAGAAGTTTTGTTGAGCTCTTCCAACACATCCCCTTTAGAGTTACTTAAAAAATACACTAAACCAAATTCTGAGTGGGAAAGCCAAGGAAAAAAAATCACAAGGAGTCATTTTTCTAGCCCAGGACAGCTTAGGAAGACAAAAAGAAAGGTTTGTGGACACTAGGGAGGGAGCAGGCTGGGAGCTCAGTGTCATGGAAGAAGCAGCAGCTGTGGGCTGGAGCAGTAGTAGGGAGAAGCCCAGTGACAATAAGGGGACTGAATACTTTGTTAGAGATTTCAAGGGACCCCATCCCTACCTCATACTAAGACAGAAAGAAGGAACAGGTCTCATCTAGCAGCTCTGTTGCTGATTTCCAAGTTCTGGTCCCAGTCTAGGATGAAGAGGAGCAGTCACAGTCATTAGCAGGGGCCCTACATGAGAAAGGACCAGAATGCAGACCAGGAAGGCAGTATGCATCCCTCTTTTCAAACCACACCACTTTGGAATCACTGAAAATTTACAGGTCCCCATTGAGCTACAAAAGCAGCAGAAAGACATAAAAGACAAAAGCTCAGACCAGTTATTCCCTTACTCTCAACCCTAGAGGTGAGTAAAGTCAAACTCTAATATAAAGTCCAAAGTCAAGAAATAGGCTGGAAAAATGAGTAAACAATATAAAAAAAGAACATGACCAAAAAACCCACTATGGTGACAGGAAAATTCAAGACACAAACTCAGAAGAAGATAATGATTTGAAAACATCTATAAGTAAAGCCTCAAAGGAAAACTGCAGATTGGACACAAGGCAAACAAGAATTCCTAGAAGAGCAAAAGAAAGAGAATTTTAAAAAGCAAAAAAAAAAAAAATTAATCAAGTAAAAGTGGCAGAGGGAAAATTGGGGAAAAATTAAATCTATGCAAAAAAATTATGAAAAGAGAATTAACAGCTCAATAAAAGAGGCACCAAAAATATTACAGAAAATAGGTCATCAAAAATCAGAATTGTCCAAATGGCAAAAGAGGTACAAAAATACTGAAGAAAATAACTTATTTAAAAATTAGAATTGATCAAATGGAAGCTAATAACAATAAAGCAAAGTCAAAGGACAAAAAAAAAGAAGAGAAAAAAATGTGAATTATCTAATAGAAAAAAATAACTGACCTGGAAAACAGTTTGAGGAGAGATAATTTAAGAATTACTGAGCTACCTGAAAGCCATGATCAAAAGCAGAGTCTTGATATCATATTTCAAGAAATTATAAAGGAAACTTCCCAGATATCTTAGAACCAGAGG